GTTCGATTCATTCCTTGTGTGCGTTCACTAAACGGCTTCGCTACGACTCTTACGGGGTGGATTTTCTCCCCCTACACCCGCGACCCACACGCGACCCAACGACTACCCACCCGCGACCCATTTGCGACCCACCCGCGACCTACCCACATTGATTTAACAAAAAAACCGGCGCCTCAGGAGGTGGAGGCGGAGGAGGAGGAGTTCTGGCGGCCCGACGCCAGCCTCGGCCTGCGTTCAGAAGACGATGGCTCTACACGAGCGGCGTCGGCCGATGCTTCCGCGCCCGCGTCGGCGCTCTCTCAAAAGTCGAGCGGACTGTATCGGTGTCAGTCGTGGGCCGGCCACTTCCCCGGGCATACCCACGCGCGGCGCGGGTGGCGCTTGCGCTTTCTCGGGCAAGAGTTCAAAGCATATCGCGACAACTGACCCTCGTTAGCGTCTGCCGGCATTCGCCCAGCAAGCTGGCTCGCAGCCCGTTGTAGGGACTTGAGAGTTGCATTTGCAGGCCAACGCCCAGCAAGCTGGCTCGAACGGATCATGTCCCTGGAAAGCTCCTGCCCGTACTCATACATCGCCAATTCAAATCGATTGCGATGCCTGATTTTGTTGTATATGTCATCGGGTAGATACTCACTCGGGTATCTGTGGACTTTCTGGGCGACCCCGCAATATGAAAGCCCAAGCTCAGCGCAGAGCAACTTCATAGAAGTCGCAAAATTGTCCTGATCAATAATCAAAGCGAATGACGCCAAGCGTCGTTTCGCAAGCTCTACATCTTCCCATGACAAATTTGCGGGTAACGGCTTACCTATGAGTTTACGCAAACCATAATTATCTGAACTGCACATGTCCATGTTGGTACCATTGGTGAATGTCATCCACATACCATCACGAGCAAAAGTTCGCTCAATCGGATCCCGCAAGGAAATCAGGCTGACAAATCCGTCCGCATCGCATGGCATGAAGCTGCTCAAGTCTTCTGGCGGTATCTCGCCTTCCGCCTTCCACGCGTTGTACCACCGATGGGTCGAGTTATCTGGGGCCACGAGGAAGGGATCGGCGTCGATTTCGCAGAGGCCATTCAGATTGAGGATTCTCTGAATGTTGGTTCCAGCATGGTGAGTGATATTCGGGAGCGGCCAAGAGGGGGGTGTCCAAAAAGGGGGGGTGCAAATCATGACCGGCGGCATGTGCGCGGCCCAGCGGGGGGGCCAGGAACGTAATGAAATAAGAAGAGGCGCCATGAAATCTGGCGAGACATCATGGCCCCCGCCATGATATTCTCCCCCCCTAGTCATCACCTTCCTCTTTGCCGCCCCCGAGATATGGAAAAAATACAGCCTCCCGCCGTGTATCCGGTACTCCCGAAGAGCAGCCTCGCGGTTGTGAGAGCACTCCTGCGGGTCCTGGACGGTGCCGCTCCCGGCACCGCGCGCAGTGGTGCCCGGGGCGCTCCCAGGTGGTCGTGGCTCCAAAATACGTCTGCTGCCCAGCACCTTTGAAGGGGCCCACAAACACACAAACAAATACACACAAATAACAAGAATCACCATGTTTTTCCATATTTTCTGGGCTTCTGTCTTCCCTACCACGTGCCATATTTTCCCATATTTTCCGGGGAGTCGACGATTAATTGTGTCTGTGTGTTTCTTTCCCTTCTGAACCCTGCTGGCGCGGAGATAGGGGAACAAAAAGTGACATAACCATAAAAATTCGGAGGTCCGCGCGGATTTCTCGGATCGGCGCTGGAACCCCTCGGGCGGCGCCGGAGGCGCGCTCCGCGCGCCAGGGAGGGGGGCCCAGCGCCGATCCGAGAAATCCGCGCGGACCTCCGAGTTTTTTATGTTTATGTCACTTTTCGTTCCCCTAGGAGAGGCCCAAAGAGCACGAGGGGCAGGCCAAACAGCATGGCCAGCATTGCAGGCCAGGCGGTCCAGCGGGCCATGGCCATGGCCAGCGTCTGTTACCAGCCTCGAACCTATCCCTATCCCTGAGATCGACACGCCAAAAGGCGATGACAGTCTTGGGGATGCGCCCTCAAAACATAGGGGAACCCCTAAGGTTGGCATCGTGACGAGGAGGTGCCCAGCATAGGGATAATGCGGGATGACGATTAATTAAACACATGGGAGTTAAAAACATAGTTTTATGCTATTTCTGCACAACCTTCTGACTGGAGGAGAACGATTAGAGAAACAGTTTTCCAGCCCGCGGCCGGTTTTTTCTAATCGTCATCCCGGGCGCCGCCGCGTGAACACGACCCCCGGTCATTTATCAACCGTCATCCTCCATGAGGGATATGTTCCAGGCTGGTAAGTCTGCCCCGCGACCCGCATCCGGGCGCCACGCGCTGCAGCTATGCAGAGGCTCGGCTGCTGCCGGGGCGGGGGGGGGCGGCGCCGGGGCCTCCCCGCGCTGGCACCGCGGTGGCCTAAGAGCTCGAGCCAGAAGGGCTTGCGCCAGAATCGCTGTAGCCAAAACGGCCGCGGAAGGAGGAGGAGGAGGAGGAGGAGGAGGAGGAGGAGGAGGAGGAGGAGGAGGAGGAGGAGGAGGAGGAGGAGGAGGGGTCGCCGAAGCCCTTCAGAGAGACCCTCCATGACCAGTCCCCGGGGCCTGCTTCTCGTCGCCGCGCCGCTGGTTCTCGACGCGCCCCAGCGGACGACGCTGACACCACGGCACGGCCAGGTGCAGGCCCAGGGCCAGGCCCCGCGCCCCGCGCCAGGGTGGTCGAGGCCGGCACCGCGGCAAGCCCACGGCGAGCCCGCCGAGCCCGAGGCAAAATGCCCCAATCGGTGCTTGCACTGAAGGGGTCCTATAGCGGACATTTTTAAGAAAATGGCGGACATGTCCCCCCGGGTTTTGGTCGCCGGCTGAGTTCCCAAGTTCCCGGTTCCGGGTTCCCGGGTTCCTGGTGATTGGTTCCGGGCAGATTTCGGTGGGTTCGGGGTTCCCAGGTTCCTGGCCGATCTCCTTGATCGAAAACCATCCACTGGTTGGGGTTTTTCTCTTGTGTAAATTACCATGCTCTGGTGCATCTTCGGGGAACTTTCTGTCTCATCGCGGACCCATCCGCATCGAATCCGTGCCGAATCCACGTCGGCATCGTCGGATCCGTGTCTAATCCACATCGGATCCTCGCCGAATCCACGCTACATCCGCGTCGAGTCCGCATCGAGCCCGTGTCGGGCACCAGAGAAGACACCAATTTTCGGGACAGGCCAGGTCCCCCGAAGATGCAACGTAAACTCTGGTGCCCGCGGCGCCCTCCCCAAGACGGAGTGCTGCGCGTGAGAACAAGCGGCGCGGCGACAGATGAGCGACGAACAGCAACAAAACCTCACGCAAGATGGCACAACGACCTCTTACGCGGTGGCTTACGCGGGCTGCCGTCGCGGCACACCACCCTGGAGGCGAGGGCGCTCCCGCGCGACGTTGCGCGGGCAGCTTGCGCGCCAACGTCGGCGCAGACGAGCCCGCCAGCTCGCGTCGCGCCTGCGGGCCTCCTGTCTGGCCCTGGACTTCTGCAGGCCAGGAGGCGGGACCCCACCCCCCTGAGACGGGCGCGCCGGTCGAGGGTCCCCAGGGACTTCCCTGGGCCTCCTGGACGTCCCTGCTGGGCCCGGGTGGCCAATCGGACAAGCGATAGCCACAAGCGGCCCCGGCCGCACACACCAGACGCCATAAAGCGTCCCAGGGCACAGGCGGGAGCGGGCGAGACAAAGGACATCCGCCCGAAAGCACACCCCCGTCTGAGGGGCCCCTCGAGCGCAACAGAAACGTTGGTGGCCCTCGCTCGATGTGTGCATGGCTTGGGGGAGGCTCGGTTCTTGGGTCTTCCGGGGTCCGAGACCGCCCCCTTAAGGCTCCCAAGATTCGCCCCACAGCTGCCCAGGAGGGCCCGCGGTCCCAGAGTGCCCCAAGACGGCCCAACGGTCAGGAGTGAACTCCTCGGAGGTCCTCGTCGGAAATGCTCAGGAGGATTGAGGCCCATTTGGGAGCTGTTACGCCGGAGTGGGCCCCGGACTAAGCAAGATCAAGCGGGATTAAGCGGGATCAATCTGGATTCAACGGGATTAAGCCGAATTAGGCCAGATGTCGGACCAGGGCAAAATCAGAATTGGACCTCCCAGGAGTTGCATCCGAACCACAGGAGCCCAAAAAGGCCCGAGGAGAGTGCCATGACGGCCCAAGACTGCCTCACGACTGCCACGGGGAGGCCCAAGAACTCCCAAGAACGGCCCCATGGATGGCCACGGGGGGGCCCAAGACGGCCCAAGAGGCTCCAAAGGCGGCCCAGAGGGGGCCCAAGACTGCCTAAGAGTTCTCGAAGGCGAGCCTCGAGCGCCCCCAGAAGCCCCAGAGAGGCCCCCAAGACAGCCTCCGAAGGCGCCAGCCAGGCCCAGAGATCCCTGAGAGGCCCCCCGAGAGGCCCCCCGAGAGGCCCCTCCGGAGCCCCCAAGAAGCTTGAAGGAGGCCCCAAGAGAGCCCCAAGAGGCCTCCTCCTCCTCATCAGCGTACTCCCTCTCCTCCTCCCGAATGTTCCTCCACTGGTTTCCAGGAAGGTTGAGGAAACACATCGCCCAGTAGCTCGGCCAAGCTCCAGCTCGTCGCTTGTCCGCATGAGCGCTTACACAACGGCAGAGTGCGGCAGTGACTCGCCGTGGGCGTTTTCTTCAATACATAGAAGAGAAGACGAGCAATGAAGGGCACGAGAACTAGTAGGGGACATGTCAAACCCAATCCCAAGCTTCGTGGGATTTCCGAGTGGACCAGAACTTTGGGGCTCAACCCTGGACTATACGATGGTGGGGGCGTCCATCCTCGAGAGGGGTGAATCCGGATAGCTCCGTCGGAATGGATCCTGGAGTTCCCTCCAAGTTCTGAGCGGCCAGACCTTTCGGGCGGACCTCGGGGATTGGGGGGACACCGCCCGCCCGCGACACGAGGTAACAGGAATGCGACAAGAGGGGTGGTAATGAGCATGGGCAGCAGCGGCTCGC